CACCCTTACAAATAGTACTTATTCAGGAACCATGGAAAATTGGTGACCAGATTAAGGGGCTAAATCTAAGGAATTTTAAACTGTTTCATAAACAAGCAGATAAACCAAGAACTTGCATTTTGGTTAATAATAAAGTTAAAGCCAGCCTGATACTTAATCTATCAAGTGCAGACTTGACTATTATTAGAGTAACACTAAATGATGGTAAAAANGAACACTATACACACAATATTCTTTATCAGTTTAATAATCGTTCCCTATATGACACATACACTGGCCACCACTGTCAATACCTGTATAATTTTAATATTGTTCATATTTTTATCTGTTTTATATTTTGTAAATCGTTAAGATGATACCCTCTCCCAAACGTAATCGTCGTCGTCGTTATGTCTCGCCCGGTGTGTAGGAAAAATTTGTGTTCTCTTCTCATTGAACCACCGTTGTGGTAAATAGTAGCTGTGTGCGTGCAGCCAATAATAGTTTTTTTCGTGTGTGTCGTTCATTATAATAATGTACTAATTTAACCAGGCGTCGGCCATGTACGGCGCCGAGATCCCCATCTTAGGATGAGTCCCATCCTTTTGATAGCAATGGTATACATACCAAAATAACAGCTGAATTCACCATTACTATATACTCACTCAAAGTATTAAAATGCTTGTAAGCCAAAATTAGTATTCATCATAAAATTGTTATCGACCTATTTTTTGTAAGAAAATTTTAAAGAAGAGTTGCTATGAAATTTAAAAAAATCTAAAAAGAAATAATAATAAAAATATGTTTATAACAAAATCCAAAATTTCTCAAATTATTAAAAAAAAATAGTAACGCAAAGTATTTGCTTTGTATTTGACTATTCAGTTGGGTTTGGTTTGGTTTTTTGGTAGGGTAGTTAATTGATTTTAGTATCTTTGCTAATATTTTATAGATGAAATACACTATTAAATACTAATTAAGTATTTTATCTTTATCATGCATCTTTAATTAAAATATGTTTAAAATTCAAAAGCATTTAAAATACAAATCATATTCACAAGTCAAAATTATCATTTATTGAATTACATTATACTTCTAAAAGTCCATATTATAACTCTGTGGTGTGATGGCAGAAGTTTATATGTCATTTTTGGTGATTTTCGGATTATCATGTAGTTAATTGAGAAATCATATGTTTCAAGGGCTGGCAAAATATGATAAGTCTTTTATGAAATATAGCGCAATTTATGTGTAAGGACCAAACCTGATATGTCATTATTAGATTACTGTTATATTAATAGTCTATGTTATCACATTTTTTTACTAATAATGTTTATTATTTTTTATAAACCTAAAATGTCATTTAAATGTAAAAAATATTATATGAAGAATATAAAATATAAGAATATAAAAATTGCAATAAATGTGGATTATATGACTTGTTCAAAGATGTTTTTAATAAAACTGGTTATAAATTTAAAAAACCTTATCTTGATACATGTAAAACATGTAATACTTTAATATTACAAATAAAACAATTTAAGGATAATGAACAACAGAAAGTACTCCAGCAACAATATGAAAACCATAAAGATCTTGCAGATTTTGGGTATTTGCAAAAAAAGGAAGATAAAATTAAGGGTTTAGCTTCTTCCAGTATGAGAGTCTTAGTATTTGATTTAAAACAAGTTTTAGATACTCCTACTTTCTCTACAAATGTTTCATTTTACAAAAGGCTTTTGTCAACATTTAACTTGACCATTAGAGATTGTGATGAAGAAGGAGTAACTTGTTACATGTGGCATGAAGCAATCGGTTGTAGAGGGTCAAATGAAATAGCATCTTGCCTGTACCAAAAAATTACAAATTTGCCCATTAATGTAACCCATGCCATCACATACTCTGACACTTGTGGGAGGCAAAACCGAAATATCAATATGGCTGCAATGTTGAGTCCACTAACTGGCAAGTTTTCAACATTGCAAATAGTTGACCAAACATTTTTATTGCCAGGTCACACTCACTTGGGGTGTGATGTAGACCATGCAAAAATAGAGAGAGAAAAGAAATTTTCGAACATTCCTATAATGGTGCCAAGAGATTGGTATCAATTTGTAAGGACAGTACGAGGGCAGAAGCCATTCAAAGTGATTGAAATGAATCAATAACAGTTTTTTACATTTTCAAATTTAGTAAGCACTTCACTTATAAAGAAAACAGTAGATACTGAAGGAAATAAAGTAAATTGGTTACTGTTCTATATTATGATAGGACTAATATATATTAAACACAAATTTCATTTATTTTAAAATGAATATAATTTATTAAATGTAAAAAAGGTTTTTACATATATAACGTGTTCTTCTTATACAATTAGGTTAACATGAACATTGATATCTCTTTTAAAACTATGATAACACACTGATATTACAGTGTAGTATATAACATTTCCTCACTAAAAATAATTAATTAAAAATACAAATTGAAATTGAAATGTACATCACAAATATGATATAAAATACGTATACATATATATATATAAAATTTTGAACATTAAATAATTGTGTTAATTCCTAAATTTAAGAGGTTTTATTATTGTTCTCTTAGGTCTTTGTTTAATATTGTTTCTATTATTACTATTTGGATTATTAACTATGTGACTAGATTGTTTAATAGTGAGATCAGATAAAAAGGAATCATTGTTATCAGTGATAGGAGTATTTTCTATGAAAGAGGAATTGTTTTTTAAAATTTGATTAGTATGACGTTTCCAAACTAAATTATCATTAGTTGTCACCTCATATGTTCTACTGCCTAATATTTTTGAAATAACAGCTGAGATCCATTTATTAGATGGTGATCTATAATCACGAACTATCACTTTTTCATTTACTGTGAAGTTTACATCTCTCTTTCCACCATTTATTACTTGCTTAGTTTGGTACTTTTCTACCACATCACTTGTGCTTGGTTTGAGTAAGTCAAAAACAAATCTAATTGACTTTCCAAATAAAATGTTTGTAGGTGTTTCTCCAGTGGTTGTATGTGGAGTATTTCTGTACTGAAATAAAAAATTATTTAATAAGTTAATTATGTCATTCATTTGGTTATTTTTTATGACTTTTTTTATGAAATTTTTGATAATTTTGACCGCACTCTCTGCTGCTCCATTACTCTGAGGATGATACGGAGCACCAACTTGTTAAGGAAAAGATGATGATGAATGAAGTAACACTGGATGAATTTTTACTTGGCGTCGAGCCGTTTAATAAAAGAAGTGAAAAGAGAGTTGCGACACAAAAATAATATGCGAACAAATGATAAATAATAACACTAGTATTACTGTGAAATAACCGTTGACAAAAGACAATAAAAGTTAATCGAAACACGGTGGCGTTTTCTGGTTGATCCGGTGGACGGCGTATCACAGTGTCAAAGGTGTCCCGAAGAAGACAGACTGCACGTATTATTGCGGCGGGGTATACGACGCTAGGCATTTGTTGGACTTTACACCACGACGATAACGCGTGTGTGTGACGGTCCGGTTTACAGTTAAGCGGTGGCTGAGAAGGAGTTGACACGACCGCGGGGTGTCAAACTAAATGATTGATATTGTATTTTCTTAAATAAGATTGAAAATATTCATTGCTGAAACATTTGGCTCCATCTGATGTAATAGCTTTAGGAATACCAAATCTAGCAATTATTTCATTAAGTTTTTTAATTACTATAGTAGTGTTTAAAGAATTTACTTTAAAACATTCAATCCATTTGGAGGTGGAGTCAACTATGACTAAAAATGTTTGACCATTTATAGGACCCAAAAAATCTATATGTAATCTAGTCCATGCCTTACTTGGCCATTCAAAAGTTTTGAGTACACATTTTGGAGGATTTGCTCTATTAGTGATACATAATTCACAATTTGCTGATAAATTTTCCACTTCTTTGTCTAACAAAGGCCACCAAAAATATGCTCTTGCCAGACTTTTCATTTTAGTTATTCCCTGGTGTGATTCATGCAATTGTCGTAATAAAATGTTTCTTAGTTTTAAAGGAATTATAACTCTATATCCCCACATAATTATATTTTGTTCAATGGTAAGTTCATCCTTTCTTCTAAAATATGGTAATAATTCTAAGTTCTTATTTGCTTCATTTGGCCATGAGTAACTTAAGATGAATTCACTTATTTTTGATAAAATAGGATCTTGTTTGGTTGCTTTTTTAACTTTTTTCCAATCAATTATCCAGTTAGATTCTTCCTTTATAAAATTTAAATAATTAACGTTAGCTTCTATATCCACTTGTTTGTTTTGAATCACCAGTCTAGATAAATAATCTGCTGGGTTGCTATTTGTAGGTACCCATTTTATATCAAATTTATAAGCCATTAATATGTATGCCCAACGTTGAAGTCTGTTGGCTGCAATTTTGGGTATTCCTTTTCCTGGGTTAAGAATATGGGCTATTGGTTTATTATCAGTGACCAAAGTGAAATGTTTACCAAACAAGTAATCATTAAATTTTTTTACTCCAAAAATAATTGCTAAACCTTCTCTTTCTAACTGTGGGTATTTTTGTTCAGCTTTGGTAAATAAATGTGAAGCAAAAGCAATAGGTCTCTCTGTATTATCACAATAAACATGAGATAAAATTGCTCCAACTGCTTTCTCAGATGCATCAACAGTTAGTTTGATAGGTAAATCAAAATCAAAATTAGCCAATACCCTATTTGATAAAAGTAGATTTTTTATTTTAATGAAAACTTTATTACATTTATTTGACCAATTGAAAATTTGTTCTTGTCTAGTTAATGCATACAGTGGTTCTAATAATTCAGCAGAGTTTGGAATGAATTTTAGATAATAAGTGACCATGCCTAGAAAGCTTTTTAACTCAGTTAGGTTTGTAGGAACTGGTACATTTTTTACAGCTTCAATATGTTTATCAGTTGAATGAATACCTCTACTGTCAATGATATGACCAAGATATTCTATGGATGTTTTTAGAAACTTACATTATTCAATCTTGACTTTAAGTCCTGCATCCAAAAGCTTAGATAACACTGACTCTAACTTTTTGTTATGTTCTGTTCTTGTTTTACCTGATATAGATATATCATTTTGAAATATGGTAACTCCTTCCATATCACCTATCGTTTGTTCTAATACACGTTGGAATGTACTAGCTGCACAATTTATTCCATATGGTAATCTTGTATAAGCAAAAAGACCCATGTGTGTGTTAATTACTACTAATTTTTGTGATTCTTCAGATAAACATAATTGAGCATAGGCATCTTNTTTTCAGATAAGCATAATTGAGCATAGGCATCTTTAAGATCTATCTTACTAAAATAGACACTATTACAATGTTTGGCAAACAAATGATCTATTTTAGGTAATGGGTGCTGGATACCTTGAAGGACTGGATTAAGAGTTACTCTGAAATCACCACATATACGGACAGTATTATCAGGTTTAAGGACAGGAACAATGGGAGTTGCCCAGTTGGAATGTTCAACAGGAGTCAAAACACCCATATTAATCAATCTATTAATTTCTAATTCTACTTTATTTTTTAAAGCAAAAGGTACAAATCTAGGCTTGTAAAATTTTGGGATACAATCTTTTTCAACAAAAAGTGTGATTTTGTGTTTTGAAAAAGTTCCTAGATTATTGTCAAAGACCTTAGAGTACTTTTTACATAATTGTACAATATCATTAGGTTGATCATTACCTTTTATATAGTTAATAGTATTATGATTAAAAAATANGATTGATCATTACCTTTTATTTAGTTAATAGTATTATGATTAAAAAATATGTTAAGTTTGGAAAAATCTTTCCTATCTAATAAAGGAGGTCCGCCTTTTTTGTGTATTCAACACTTATTTATAAAAATATAACAGATTGATTCCAATTGGCAATACTAAAATTTGTGAAGTTTTAATGAATTTATGTATTTATTTTAATAATTAACAGCTTTTAAATTTAAACTAATTGCTTTAACTAGTCTAACCTACCACATTCAAATCTTTTAGCTATACAACTACAAATAATTTATTTGTATTATCTATAATATTTATTTCTTTTGAGTAAAATTTTCTTTTTCAAGGAACGCAATATTCTTAACCTTATCAAAATTCTACTGTAGTAAACATATTATCTATAAAAATAATAATTTTACTATAATTTTTTTTTAAATACTTGAAAGTAACATATAAAATAACAATTACTTATATCTTAAATTTTAAGATATTTTCTTACTACTCCCTCTAATATTACATCATAAAAATAGTACTATAATAACTACATGTATTACTTTATTACATTGCCCTATTTTAATTAAAAAATTTAACAATTACTATTAGATTTATTTATTTTTTTGCAATCTAATATTGTTCAATGAAAATTCAAATGAGAAATTTAGCTACAATACTGTATTTGTAGTATAACAATTCATTCTAATGTTGATCTGATATGAAATTAAAGCTTACTAATGTAGTATGTTAAGACAAGTGTATACAAAACCAATAGACATCAAAATTGTACAAAAACTATAACTGAAATCAAATTTATAACAAAATAAATTAACTTAAAATTTGTAATACTAAAAAAGGAAAAATTATTTCATTAAACTCACTTTAGTTTGTTCAAGAACTATATGTTAATTCGATAGATGACTTTATTATGATAGACAGTAATAAAAAATCATGATTACAATCTTTTTTTTTTCTTAATATGATTAGGATATTAATCTTATGATATTGAAGTATCTTAGTTTACTTATAAGTGCATACTTAATAATACAGATGATAACTTACAATAGCAGGTATCAAAACTAAAAACTGAAATCAAATTGAATCGGTCATTTCAAAAACGACATAAGTCATTAAATTCAAATTTTTCAAGAACCAAAAAAAACTCAATTACTCCAGAAATTCCTCTTTTTTTTCACTTACACCTAATTACAAATTTATTTTTAAGCTCTCTGAGATTCATAATCCATAGTTTTAAATAGTCTATCTTTTACCAAAATGCATAAAATTCAGATAAAACTTATTTGACTTACGTTGTTTTTGCAGTCAATAGAAAAAAATAATATACAATAAAGTCAAGAAATAAAATAAAATAGATAAACACAGTAATGTTAATAATATTTTTACACTAGTTGAAATAATTTTATTTAAATAAAATAATTTTTATTTTAAATAAACAAAACTTAACTTTTTTTAACTTTACAAAAAGTAACAAAATTTAAAAATAACTGATTGAAACTTAACAAAAAACAATATAAAATAAACCATTGCACATTTCATAGTACATATTATTTTACAAAAAATAAAATATTTTTTTTTTAGCATCAAAAACTTAACTTTTTTAACTTGACAAAATGGTACATGCAAGAGCATTTTTGAATGAAACTTGATAAAAATCAAAATACAACAAAAAACTGTAAAAAAATGTAAACTAACATTAAATTATTAAAAACAACTGATCAAAACTCAACAAAAATAAAAAATATGTCAATACATATTTTGAAAAATGTCATGGTACGTAATCATATTCCCCATCAAGTTCTACATTTTCAGCTTCCATATTTTGTTCATCAGCAGTTGGCCATTTATATATTTCTTCATAAAATAACCTATGCTCCTCGTTAATACTATCTTTAACTTGTCTTAAGTTTTCAATTTTTTGGGGGTTTATTGGCACTTTATTATTATACGCCTTTGCTGTTGGCAATGCTATATTATTATTTGTTGTTAATTTTAATAGTTTAAATGTCTGTTTTGATAACCCATCGATAAAATTATGTGTGAATACAATACCTTTATACTTTGTATTATATTCGAAACTCATGTATGTAGATGGGGTAAAGGATTGCTTTTCATCCTTTGGAACTTTTTTTCCAAATGTCTCAATAGAAAAACATGTCTTTTTGTAGTGTGATGGCCACCATTTTTTAAAGTTATAAACTTGATACGTGTGAAACTTTATTACTTTGAACTTTTCACTGCATTCATTCACTATTTTATAATATTCATCTGGCACATATATACGATCATGCTTTCTTATTTTTTTTTTTATAACTCCAAAATCCCGATCGTTAGGTAAAAATGTATGACCTCTTAGTGGGAAAAAGTGATAAATCCTTTCAAATCGTTGACTATCTGTCAATGCTAGTAAAAATCGTATAACGGTATTATTTTTGTTTTAGCCCGGACAACCATCACAAAACAAGTATAATTCTTTTATATCTGAATTAATATTATTATTTATATTATCCAGTAACATAGAGCACACATCGTTGGACCCCTTGCAAGCTTCACCCTCATGGTACATGTAAAATGTAGATTCTTCAGTTTTCAAATTTTTAATCCCAAAACAATTCGTTCATAATTGTCTTAAATAAAAAATGTTTTGTACTGGTATGTTTGGTAGGGGTAAGTTTTGCATAAAATCAAATGTAATAACCATAACATCTTGCCTATCTTTACAAAGTTGTTGTATAGATGCCATTTTATTATGAAATTTTTTAGCCCTCCGTTTATGAACCATTAATTCTGCAACATAAGTCCTCTTTACATTATCTGCAAGAGAAGGACTTTTTATTTTTACATTGAGTTGCTCACATACAATACAAGTATCTACTTGTGGCCTACCAAATATAATAGAAAAATTTTCTTTGAAATATTTTAAATAATACTTGTAGTTAACATTAACTTGAGGATATTTTTTCACAAATAAGCCATGTATTATTTTAATGTCTAAACGATCATCAAGGTATTCGATTTGTTGTCCAGAATAATGAGTTTTTTTTTCTGGGAAAGGAGAATATGCTCATGAATCATAAAGCATATTTCAGGTGATTTGGTATTACCTTTAGGATGTTTTCCTCTTTTATCATTTGGACATTTTCCCAAAGTGATTAAATCACAAAGTCTACGAACTCTACCTTCAGTTATACTATATACTAACAAATGCATTTTTGCATACCTTTATCTTATTATCTACAGTAGACAAGAAATAATTGAAACTGTATTGTCTTGCAGTGCCAGTTCCAGTTCGCCTTCGTCGTTGTTTTACATCATATTTTTCAATATGCTGTTGTAGATAAATATCTTGTTCATTTTTAGTCGAAAAGTTATTGAGTGTTCCAATGCAAAATTGAAAATCTTCATTTCGAAACTTCGTGAAACAGACATTCTTACACCTGTATTATTTCAGGAATTTAGAATAGAACACAGTAGGTACTCTGATATCCACATATTCATAAAATAACTTANGATATCCACATATTCAAAAAATATCTTACGTGCAATTTTGGCCTCTTTTTCTACTATGTACTATTTTTCCACTCCAGTTAGTATGTTCAACGCCTTTGACTTTAGACTGTCTGATAACATTTCGTTTGTAATTTGAAATATTGCTTGTTCTTTTTTTTTGGGGTTCGTGATCACTTTCTGACTCGTTTGACGACATGTTTCATTTAATAAAATATAAAACTTTAAATTTTAAAATTTTGAACATCTGACCATTTATTTTTAAAAGTATGAACGTGTTATTGCTATCATGGTCAATAAAAGAAACATATGATGTATAATAATCATGACAAAAAGTGCGATCTGTGAATTATAGTTTCTTGTAGTAAATTTTGTATTAAATATTAGTCTGACAAATGTAGTTTTTTCACAGAATACGTAACTAGGTATATAATTATCAAATTTGACAAAAAGTCATTTTTGAAAAATTGATGACTTATGTCGTTTTTGAAATGACCGATTCAATTAAGGAATAGATTATTAATTATTAAAAAAAAAACTAAAAACTGAATTTATATTAAAACAATTTTTTTAACAAATTTATTTACTGTTGGCAACTTTCTAAACAAAATTCAAAATAATTTTAATTTATGCAAATTTTTATATATTTTAAGGACACTTGTTGCTATTTAGTGAAATAAATTAAGTGTTCTAATCCATGCACGCTTAATTAAATAATAATAGCTATGAGCACCATATCAAAATGGTTGCTTAATATTTATTTATTATCTACAGTGAAACATAACACAATCATAAGTTCTCTTTATAAAATTGTGTATTAATATTCAGTAGCTGATCCATACAATTATTCAATTTGAGAACTCTAATTTAACTAAGATAAAAATTATTTTAATTAATCAGTGAAAAGTTTAAAATCAGTTTTAAAATTACATTATTTTAAATTTAGCAATTTAAAAATAGTATTTTAACATACTTTCATAATAAAGGTTATTGAAGTTTATTACATACAAAATGTTTTAAAATATCATATTATTAATATAATTTCATTTATAACATTCCCAATTAAACAAAATTGTTTAATTTCAATATGGATATAATGTCAAATTTTTGTCTATTTGCTAACCAATTTAAAAAAATATATTCAAATAGTTAAATTTAGATAATTACTTACAAAATTGTTAAATATAGTATACCAATATTGTTCTGTATATTATAATCATTTTGGAATAGTTGGAAAATAAATTAAAAATCTATAGCCAAAAAAAGATCATCAATACATGTTTTTGGAGCCTGGAGTTTTTTTAAATCTGGCCTTAATTATACTACACATCTAATATTACATCATTATATCGACTTACTTTTTAAGTAAAATGTCACTACAGCAAAACTTATTTTTCTCAAAAGAGAAAAAAGTTAAGTTTTTCGGTAATATTGTCATTCGACAGCAGCAAATCCAAAACTGTAAATATCTTCCAAAATTAATCTCTTTAATTTTTCGGTAAATTTCATTTTTTCTGCAGCTATTTCATAAAATAAAATTATTAAGACAGATCTATAAAATTTACTTCATTGTCT